ACCAAACCTGTCTCCTGAAGCCCACATATAAATAATAACATCTGCGGCATATGCGAGGCTGGCTAACATCAGAACTGCCTTCAGGAACCTGTGTAAGGAATTATTCAGAATCTTGTACACCACATATGTAAGACCAATCCTGGAGTATGCGGCCCCAGCATGGAGCCCGTATCTTGTTAAGCACAAGACGAAGCTGGAAAAAGTCCAAAGGTATGCCACTACACTAGTCCCAGAACTAAGAGGCATGAGTTACGAGGAAAGGCTGCGGGAAATGCACCTTACGTCACTGGAAGACAGAAGAGTAAGGGGAGACATGATCACTACTTACAAAATTCTCAGAGGAATTGATAGGGTAGATAAGGATAAATTGTTCAATACTGGTGGTACGCGAACAAGGGGACACAGGCGGAGACTGAGTGCCCAAATGAGCCACAGAGAAATTAGAAAGAACTTTTTCAGTGTCAGAGTAGTTAACGGATGGAATGTATTAGGCAGTGATGTGGTGGAGGCTGACTCCATACACAGTTTCAAATGTAGATATGATAGAGCCCAGTAGGCTCAGGAACCTGTACACCAGTTGATTGACGGTTGAGAGGCGGGACCAAAGAGCCAGAGCTCAACCCCCGCAAACACAACTAAGTGAGTATTACTAGGAGAGTACACCCCCCCTCCCCACACCCCCAACACACACGGGCCTCGCGCTGAGTGGATAACGCTTGGGGGTCGTAGTCCTAAGAGCCCGGGTTCGATCCCCGGCGGAGGCGGAAACAAATGATTAGTTTCTTTCACCCTGATACCCTTGTTCACCTAGCAGTAAATAGGAACTTGCGAGTTAGACAGCTGCTACAGGCTGCTTCTTGGGGATATGTGTGTATGTGTGAGTGCGCGCGCGCGCGTTTTAGATAAAAATATATGTAGTAGATATAATAGAGGAAAAATAGATTGGTTAGAAAGGCGGGGCCCAAGAGCTAACAGCCCGATTCTGCCGATACAAATAGTAAATACGCACGCGGGGGGGGGGGGGGGAGGGGAGCTAGCATGGGGGGGGGCAAGGGGGGGAGGGGGGCTGAGGAGACGAAGGGAAGCTAACATCGGGAGAGGGGAAGGGAGAGAGAAAATCCGATAATTGAAGGGGGGGCGACGCGCCCGGTGGTAATCAAACAGCCCCTGGGGGACGGCTCCCCCCGTCTCCAGCCCTCCCCCCTGGGGAGTGCCGGTACAGACACTCGGGACATCGCGGTACACTGGTACAACCCAGGTACGCTGTTGGTACAACCCCGGTACGCTGTTGGTACAACCCCGGTACGCTGTTGGTACAACCCCGGTACGCTGTTGGTACAAACCCGGTACGCTGTTGGTACAACCCCGGTACGCTGTTGGTACAACCCCGGTACACTGTTGATACAACCCAGGTACACTGTTGGTACAACCCAGGTACACTGTTGGTACAACCCAGGTACACTGTTGGTACAACCCAGGTACGCTGTTGGTACAACCCCGGTACGCTGTTGGTACAACCCAGGTACACTGTTGGTACAACCCAGGTACACTGTTGGTACAACCCAGGTACGCTGTTGGTACAACCCCGGTACACTGTTGGTACAACCCAGGTACGCTGTTGGTACAACCCCGGTACACTGTTGGTACAACCCCGGTACACTGTCGGTACAACCCAGGTACACTGTTGGTACAACCCAGGTACACTGTTGGTACAACCCAGGTACACTGTTGGTACAACCCCGGTACACTGTTGGTACACAGATTGTGGTGGGGGTGACTGGGAATGGTGATTGTGTGTGTGTGTGTGTGTGTGTGTGTGTGTGTGTGTGTGTGTGTGTGTGTGTGTGTGTGTGTGTGTGTGTGTGGTGTGTATATATATATAATATATATATATATATATATATATATATATATATATATATATACATACATACATATATACACATACATGTATATACACTCCAAATATATACGGTGGATATAAACAGGAGCCGCATTGTATGGGCCAATAGGCCTTCTGCAGTTATTTTCTTCTTATATTAAAAGAACAATTATATTACATTTTACTGTGCAGGTTAATGAATAAAAATATTCGTGATATAAACAGATATTTCAGTACGCTGTAAGAAGCTCAATGGAAGGTCTTAAGCCAAGGTTCTAGTCTTAATTCATTAAGACTGTGTAGCACTTAAATTAAAAGGGATATAAGGATAAGGATTTGGGTTGGGTCGGAGGGAAGGAATGGTGGCCAGCCACTTGGACGGTCGGGGATTGAGCGCCGACCTGCATGAAGCGAGACCGTCCAGCCCATGTGATTGGGCAAAGAGACAGATAAAGGGGAGGGAGAGAAAAGGGAGAAAGAGAGAAAAGGGAGAAAGAGAGAAAAGGGGGAATGGGGAAGAGAGAGAGAGAGAGAGAGAGAGAGAGAGAGAGAGAGAGAGAGAGAGAGAGAGAGAGAGAGACAGAGAGAGACAGAGAGAGAGACAGAGAGAGAGACAGAGAGAGAGACAGAGAGAGAGACAGAGAGAGAGACAGAGAGAGAGACAGAGAGAGAGACAGAGAGAGAGACAGAGAGAGAGAGACAGAGAGAGAGACAGAGAGAGAGACAGAGAGAGAGACAGAGAGAGAGAGAGAGACAGAGAGAGAGAGAGAGAGAGAGAGAGAAGGGGGGGGGGGGTGAGGACACGAGGGAGAGGAGGAAGGCGTGAACTCACTGGTATTGAGCGCCCGCGAGGCTGGAGGGGGTCCGGAAGGTGTGAAAAAAGTATGTAAACAAGACGACAGACTTCGACAAACTCGGCACTGGAAGGAA